CTAAAGTACTTCACACATACTCAAAACTGCTTGGGAGGCATAAGTAATGAATCCCTTTTAGGACTAGGTTAATGCTGCATCCAGAGAAAATTAGATTATTCAGCCAGGGTTTAGCCAGGTGCCAGTTCTTGGAAAAAGTGTTAAACTGTTGAGTGTTTCAGTTCTAAACTGTTGAAGTAATTTTCAGTCTTTGGTTTGCCTCCTGTTCTAAATTTAAGAGTATTTAATGTTTCCAAAGAAAAGAGGATCTGTTCCCACTCTAATTAGAATTACAGTTGTCTTATAAGGTAAGAAAGATGGTAAAAGCCATAAATGATCTCCATGTCCACTGACATTAAGACCATCATTAAGTTGGCTTCAGTTATACGGTAAAGAAGAACTTCTCAGGTGCGAGTATCATTCAATACTGAAATAGAGCTTCTGATGAGGCCGTTGAATTTCCATCACTGGATTCTTATAAGCATAAGCTGGTGTGTAGCTGCTCCTACCTTGCACAGAGATATGCAGTAGATTACCACATCTCTGGCCCAGTCATCCATATTTTCTTTGATTCTGTATGTGACATCAGTTCATTTCTCTTCAGCATGTACATAATGATACAATCCCTAATCCATGGTGTGTTAATTTGGATAAATTTAATGGGCCCTGTGTGTTATGTTGATGTTCCTGTAACCGTACAGCACCACATAAGAGTCTTTTTTGAAAGCAGAGGCAGTGTTATTAGGTGCATGACAACTGCCGCTGTATTTTTTATTTGATTCAGAAAAAGAAGGACAAACTGTATTTAAATCTGAAGTTATTAAGGAAAGTTTTTTCTCTTTCCCTTTAACTTTAGAGAGGTTTCTTTTTTATTTTAAAGAAAAAAAACCCCTTTTTTGATATTTTTTATGCAATATTAGCATAGTATAAACTGTAACCTTTTGGGGAAAAAACAAGTCAGTTGTGTTGGGCTGGGGCTGCCAATCTCAGAGTCTGATCCTGCTTCCTGGAAGAAATAACAAGAAAAACACACAGAGGAAAAGAAAAAGAATAACAGATACAGAAAATATATGTTTAAATGACTCCTGCAACCTCTTTGTTGGTCATTCCTCAAGATTGAAGTGATGCACTATTTCAGTATTTTATACACTAATATGTTCTGATACATTAATTTTGGTAGATTTTTGTGTAGCATTTTTCTCTTATTTTCTGGTCACATTCTTTAATTATTTGAGCTTTTTTCCTGTCTTTCTTTCTGACTATTGTAATAATTAAATTTAGCGTAAGATGTTGCAGTTTAATTGCATAAAGAATTTAGGACAATAGGCTTTCATGCAACAGTGATTACATGATTTTTTCATTGGATCTGTGTCCCATTCCTTATATGAAATAAATTGTTCCTGTCTCAGGGACAGCTATTCAAAATTTCCTTTGGTGTATTCTCTTCACAGTGGAGGTCTACATATTACTTACTCTTAACAGCCAGAGTCAACATTGAAAACAAAAATATTAATTTCCTAAACAATTTTTTGCTGTTGTTTTATGGTAGGATCTTCTTTTCCATAGGCACTTTTGAATTTTTTTCAGAGCACTATTAGCAAGTACATGTAAAATATCACTTTTTACACATTTGCCGATACAAATTTGCTGACATATTGATATCTAACACAAATGCTTTCACTATGCTACCCTAATCTATTCTCAGCCTGCCATAATGTATTGACAAGCTATTTGACTAAGTAAGGAATTCTGCTGGAAAAAAGAAAAAGAAAAAAATGAGTATGCAGTCGTGTAAGTAATGTTTTTATGCCTTGCACCGAATTATTTTTACAAGTAGAATGAAATACTACTAAGAAGGAAAGGAATACCTCATATGTATGTCAGCAATTTTTTAAAAACTAAAGTACAACATTCAAATATGTTTGACTTGAACTTTTCTTACCATGGATTTAACTGTAGACAAGGATATCAAAATCACAAATACAAACATTAGAACTAGTCAAAAAATGAAATTATTATTCTGTGGAAAATTATTATTTCTGTGGAAATGTTGAATTTTGTTTGCATTCCAAATTAGAACTTCACAAAATGTAAATTCCAATAATAAATGAGTACATTATATGTGTTGTTTGTCACAATATGATGTAGTAGTTGAAATATTCTAAAATTTTTATATGTAAACCACTGAGGGGAAATGCTACCTAGTATTGATTAGATCTCTTCTAAATCAAAGAACGTTCTCATTTTCATACATAAATAGCAAAAACATGGATTAATATTGTAGATCCCACTTAGGTCTTCTTTCTCTTTTCATCCTCTAGGTTTGATGTAATGCTTAGTAAAATCTAGTACAATTATTGCTAACAAAATTGATAATAAAATACACAAGCTTTTATTTAATCACTTCAAAACCTTTTCTGAGATTTTTGTATTTTTCAAACACATTTTAACAGAGATAAATCTCAGTAAAACTTTTAATGTTTCATTTCTGTCAGTCTACACGAGAACTCATCCCTTTTTCATAGCCAGCATATTCTTCTTAATAGGAAAAAACCCTGTAAGAATGGGACAGTTTAACAATGTAATTTAAAAGCATCAAACTTAACTGTGCCCAGCTAAATAGAGTTATGTATTCTGGAACCGAGCACTGCACTAAACTTCCTCCCACTTAGAAACAGGGGCTATTACTTCAATTGCTGTAATGACAGTGATTCCTGTGATCCCACATAGTGCCATAGTCTTGTTTCAAATAAGGTTTAAGAGTTTGCATTAGTAGTAATTAATTGTTCTCTACTTACTGTTGTTAAGAACAGGTGAAGATGAGTTCAAAATATTTTTAGTTTCTTCTGAGGTTGTAGCTATGAACTAAATCTGCCCTGGGAAAGATATGTACCTTACACACGAGTTTTGTCAGACTCCATGCCCATTCAATCAGGTGTAGCTCTGGGAGTGTAATGAGTTTAAGATCCTGCTTAAGACCTGTTAGACAAGAAGTGTTATTATACTATACAAAGTAGCTTTTCTTCCCTGGAGGAGTGAGGGTCGGCCGGTGCTTTTACTCATCCAGTTCCTGTTGATGGGGTTTGTATAGTCAGGTGTTAGATGATATGTTTTACGTTGCTACACATATCCACAAGATTAAACATTTGTCACAGTGCTGTTGCTCTGTGCGCTTTGAGGCTGAGCATGCAGTAGAGCATAGCTGTCATTAACAACAACCTAGACATTATGACCTCTTTTTTGAATGCTGGTCAAAACATACTGTGAGCAGAATTGACATTTTAGTTTTAGCAGAAGGGCCTGAGTGGAAAGGAAAAAAAACCAGTAAATAAAAAGAGACGAAAGTATTTGTCATAGGACATTGGCTATTATTTAGCTACATCTAACTAGTTCAACTACACAGCCCTCTGAACACTTGGGAAAAGAAATCTGTGATAATATTAATTTTTTTTGAAATGCTGTTTTTAAGATCTAACAGCCTATGTTCATTCTGATTTGTCCATCCATGTCTTAATGACATTGAGCTACTAAGCTTAGGACTTGATGGAAGTAAGGAAGGAGATTGTTCCACAGTGGCTGGTCATTTTAAAATCTGAGCAACTTGGTTTTGTCATGGTGATTGCAAAGACGGGGTATGTTGCCTCCACAGCTGATTCTTCTAGAAACTGTAAAGCAGTTTTGAACCAGGAGCATTCATGAATGCATGCTGTACTGGCTTTCTTGAGCAGGTCTGTCACATGTCTATTGAATGAAAAGAAAGAGAAAAATAGTGCTTACTCTACCATTGCCTACTTATCTGCCTGAGGGTAATAGTTTCATACAGATTCCTGTTTTATATATTTCCATTCTCGGTCAGCTTTAGGTTCCTGGTTCTCTGCCCCAGAGAGAGCTGGCTTGAACAATGTAAGGTGCTCTTCCAGCTTGTATCAGCTGGTTATGGTCCCCTTGGTCTATTCAAGTTATGTATAGCCAGAAGGCACTACTGTCCTGTGAGCCTCCTTTACTGATCTCACCTGGGCCCTCTGCCATGGGGTAGCATTGTAGAAATTGCACCCAAGCTACATATACCCAAATGTATACCCAGATGTATTTGCAAGGACAGCTGGTGAGCTTGTGGCTTGTGACAGCTGCTTTGCCGTAGTAGGGACAAAATTAATTAAAACTGTTTCTGCAAGTGTTGTTTTTTTTTTTTCACAAGGACGAATTACATGCCAGAATTTTAGCATAAAGCATCCTGTATTAAAAAAAAAAAAAAAAAAAAAATCATTGAAAAATATTTTAGTGATGGATTTCCTGATTAACTTGGTTATTCGTTGATTTAGTGCCAATTACAAATGCTAGCAATCATTAAATATTATATATTTGTAGCCTGATATCCATTGTGTGGTGTTGTGTTGAAAGCAAAGCCAAAAGTAACTTTCTCCTCCAGGTCCAAAGCCAGCAACCTAACTGCTGGCAGCCACTATAGTCTCTACTGGCAGTATGCAGCTATAGACAAATTTTATGTTGGATTTTGTAAGCCACTGGAAATATGAACTTGTTTTGTCTAGCCTCTGTAGGGAAAATAGGACAGATGGACTTTTCATACTGCTTAAATAAATCTCTTGCTTCCTTTGGCCAGCCTTCCAGAGTAGGGTGGGTGAGTCAAATGGGTCAGAGAAGCTGATATTTGTGTTTCTTTCATATGAATAGAAAGTGGACACCTTTTCTAGAATTTATCTAATTTAGAAGTGTATAGCTGATAACAATTTTGAGAAGTAATTTGTTAAAATATTGGAAGCTATGCCAGATATGCTATGTTGTTCTGTACTATTCTGAATGTAGGTGTCCTGTTTATAATTCATTGAAATGTCAATATTTAGACCAAACCCCTAATTTTCAGTTCCTCAGCTCTCAGTAGTTACTACAGTGTTATATCATTAAAAATGCCATTTAAAAATGCTAGGTTTGAGGCATAGATGTTTGCAATTAAAAATATTAATTGATGTATGCCAGATTATATAACTTCAGGTTTTCATCAGGACAGTGATCTACTGGACCGGCGGAAACATTGCTTCAGTGTCCAGTCTGAATCTGGAGAAGATCTTTACTTTTCTGTGGAACTAGAGTCTGACCTAACATTATGGGAAAAAGCCTTCCAAACAGCAACTTTTTTAGAAGTTGAACGGATACAGGTGAGAACAACTGCCTTGATGATTACCTTTTGCTTCATTAACAAATTAGGTCTATATGAAATAATGATGCAATTTAAGAAATTCTCTGACCTCCTGCAGCTCTCAAATTATTATTGTTTTATGTATGTAATTGCGTAAAAACCTTTTTGGTGTTCCCAAGCAGCTTGCAATTTAACATTCAGAAGAGATCACATCAAATACAGTCTTTGAGTTATTATGACTAGGTGATACATATTTGTTAACTAAAGTTCATGGACAGAAGAGAAAAAACAATCTATAGATCAGGGACAAAACCAGCTGTGTAGATATTCTTACATACTGTCTTACATGCTACTTTATTTTTTATTGGATAACATATGAGAACCTTGCAGGAATTAAATTGTCCTTGTAATCAGGAATGAGAGTACACTGAGTGAGAGTACTTTCAGGATGCAAGCAAGAACAAACTTGTACTTCAGATACATTATTCTTTTTTCATACATTTCTTGTTTCCTGTGTATTTACTCAATTGTCAGATGACAGAGCAGAGGTGGATGACATTCAGGTACAGATTACTAGCAAATTTTTATAGCAAAATTACATATCAGAGTGTTTAAAGATAACTCTGTTTTTCTCACATGACCAAAAAGTAATGTGGTTTTTTTTTATTTAAAATAGGAGAAAAAAAAATACCCATCACAATTATGTCACCTAATCCTAGTTGTTATATTGATGTTCTAGTTATAAAAAATACATGTAGTTGGAACAGCTTTAGTTGATGTTGCCATGAGTTATTCTGTATACACACCTACAAAAGTCTTATTAGCATGTTAGCCTGTGCAAGTATTGGCTAATGCTCACTTTCTCTGCACTCATTTTCTCTTGGGTTTTAGAATTACATTTATTCAAAATTACTCCCATGTTTCCCAAAAAAAATTTCATTAATAATCTTGACCTCAGATTAATCTTAACCTTTCCACCTTTCTTTTCACTCTACTGGTGTTCAGAGTAGCAATTATGAACTCAAAGTAATGATTTCCTGAGATTGATTATAGCAAATTTGTGAAGGTGGACAAACAGGCTTCTCACGATAGATTATTATTGTGGAACTCACACTTATGATTTCACCTTTTTTTCTTTATTTTCTTGCCTCTCTTTTTATATTTCAGTTTGGAAAAAAAATAGAATATTAATTTTTAGTATAACTGGCCTTGGCCTGCTTATTTTTCTTTCAGCAATCCATTACTGCTTTCATCCACCAATTCACAGATTCAGATAAAATCTGGTTTGACTTAAGTAGTGGTATACTTTGTCTCTGGCAAGTTCTTTCATTGCTCTGTGAGAAAAAAAGGTGACATTCAAAATCGAGGTATCAACTGTACATTTTTATGAAAATTTTGTTTTATGCAATTATGTTCTTATGAATATTTATATTTCATGTGAATGATAATCCAGCTGTGTGCAGGTTTGTCTTACTATGAAATCATATAATTTTGAAAATATAACTGCAGTTTAAAACTGCCATTAAAATTATTCAAATGTGTTGTGTACTACTCCATACTCATACAAATAATAACAGAGTTACTCAATGAGTATAAATTGGCATTAACCTCCACGAGAATTTAATCAGGGCCCTATTCTGATGTAATTCTGAAGAATGCATCACAAATTAAAATATTTTTTAAATGCCTCACTGTAAGTATATAATAAATTCTGTTTAATCCTAATTCATAGTTTCTGCCAGAGGTATACCTAAAACAAAAATGAGGCAGGGTTTTTTTTTAGGAAAGAAATTTATTAGAGGAGAGATAGTCAAGCTGATAATAGTTTAGCAATAACGTGGTACGATATTGTAGTGGTACCATTGTGGTGTGTTACAGTCACTCTTTAGCTAGTTTTCCTTAGAGTGGTAAGAGATGCTAATCCATTTTCATAATTACCTATTAAAAGAAAAAAAAAATAGTTGAAATGGAGATCCTTTTTCCTTACTATCTCACAGCATTGTTATATGAAGAATCTGAGACTACTATAGCTTGCATAATGATGTGCAATTATATATGATTGTCAGGTTCCCCTTGTGCTCCTGCTACTTTATGCTAAAATTTTCACCACTTCCATCATGAAGTTTTTTCTTGCTGTCCTTCTTGTTCGTGTTGTAGTTGTTTGTTCCCTAATGTAAGGATTATTGTGTAAGCTGCTTTGTGTTACAGTACTTTAATGTTTGTCTCCATTGAAGTTGAATCTGAGTTTGAAAGTCTGAATTAAATCTTGGACTTATAGTATGGTTTCCCTTATCTTCAGAGATAGCTTACACTAGGTTTACAACATATCATTCTTTCCATAATTTACACTGTGTGTATTGAGGTTGTAGAATCTAAGGAACAACTTTGGGTTGTCTCCTTCAGCCCCTGACTGACCCACTGAATTATTCATAAACCTAATTTAAGATTCTGTAAAAGAACAAGAAATGAGTGCTGAAATATATTCTGCTTCTTTTGGGAGGGGGATGCTTCAGTTCTGATAAGGTTTTCATGAGCTCTGTGTGAGAAATCAGCAACTAAAGCCAAACATCCACAGTATAAATTATTAATAGTCACTTTTAATGATTTAAAGTGTTTGTTAAATGTGTAAGAAATTTTAAAGTATCAAGTCTCCTGGGAAGAATTTCTGCATTTTTGTTTTATTCAAATGTCTGAATTAAAAGACAAATTAAAGAAAATAAAGATGAGAAAAATCTTAACAGAGTTAACGAGTGTCTGAAAGTTCACATTCCTACTCTGACCTGTGACCAGAATCATGTGCAAGAGCATACAACACATGCATAAAGCAAGAGACGTTCTTCCCCAAAGAAACTAAAATCTTGCTGTCCGGAGATCTTTTTGTTATTCTCACATTTTTGCTTCTCTGCATGGTTTTGAACATCATGGAATACATGGTCCGAGGGCATAGACTGGTCTTATGTATAAGTAAAGAATAAGTAAAGAATCAGCTACTACTGGTGGTCTGCACCTTACAATGCAGTTTCTTCCTACCGATAGCTACATTCAGCCGAACTAGATGATATTTCTCCACAAATTGTGCACTGCCTTTTGTAGAAAGAACCTTCAGTCTGGGAAGTAGGTTGCTTTTTCAGTGCAGCATTGAACCAAGACTGATATGTCCTGTTTCTCATAAATCTTAACTTCTCAGTGAGGCTAAGTAGCCCAGGCACAGTGCTGTGCTTAAGCAGAGGTAGCTCTGCCAGCTCAGCGTGGTGGTGCAATGCACATTGTAGGTTGACCTTTGGTGTTGAGGTGGGAGGTCAGATGATTTAGACAGCAATACATATTTTAAATCTGATATACTGTCTTCTTGCCAAATTTTAATTCTCATTAAAGCCTCTATGTCTGTCCTAGATATCTTGGAGGTCTACAAATAAAAATGTAGTTTACATCTTGTAGGAAGTTAGCAAGATAATTCTACAAAACTGTACATTTTTTGCTTTGCATGCAAAACCTGAACATTTTTGCATATGTGAATTCATTAAGTAGTAAGTCACTGTGAAATATATTACTTTACACTCTTTTCTTCTACTAATGAGATGTTGCCAAAGGCAATATTCTCTCCTTTTCTAACAACACTGATTTACTGTCAAAGTTTACATATTCATAACAGTTTTATGGTGTAGCTGCTCAAAAAAAAAGCCACTTTTATTTGCTAATATAAACACAAATAGCATATGACTGCAATACCACAGAGCTGAGTCATTGATTTCGTAATTAAAAATTTTGGGAGTTTATGCATTAATAGTTATAATGACCAAGTGCACGTCTATACTGTATGAATTCAGATTTTATACATGTAGTAAAGTACATAAAGTTCTTTCAGTGTTGGAAGCTGCAAGAAGAGACCAGTCGCTGCTTTCCACCTCAACAGCAGCAGTAGGATACCTTTCATTTACTGACAGACAGTTATAGCTTTTGAACACCTTTGGTGGATCACACAGTAACATATGATTTACTGTTACTCAGCAATAATGCAAAATCATCTTGTAAGGCATGTGTCATGGATTGTTTTTACTTCTGAGTTATAGATGGCCATGCTTTGTCTAGAGTCTGGCTCAAATGCTGCACTTGTGCCCCACTGGTAACTCATAGAGAGTGTCCTTCAGCTTCCATGATGGATATCACTGTGTTTGAAACCTGGATTCTAGAGCTCCAAGGTGCATGCACAAAGATTAACCACCAACTGTTTCTATGTAGTTGAGACCTGATTTGATCAATGAAAGAAATTCACTCAAATATTTCAGTTCCAGAAAAGAAATCTATATTGAAGTGTAAGAAAGTCAAATTTAAAATAACCAAAGAATCTATATAGCTATGAACTTTTCCATTTTCCTTCACTACAATGTCTATTTCAACGCTTAGAAGCTGTTAACGAGCCTTTCATCTTGTGTTCTGGGGAAGACCATTTAGACTCCAAAGAGCCCACCCAAAGAATATATAAGTAAAGGCATGTGATTTATACTTGATAATCAAAATGCCAAAAATAATAATACATACTTTTGTTACACTGATAATTTAGTAACTTACATTGTCCCCATGTTTAAAATTTATATTTTGGTTCTTTGACACATTATAGATCATGGAAGCCTTTGTTCTCATTTTGTATATTTAGTGGCTACAGCAACATTTGAAGAATATAACTTTATTTCATTTAATCTGGAGGGTAAAATTTCTATAAAATAAGAATGGTTTATTTAAAGAACTTACATCAGATTTGGAAATGTTTTTTTTTTTTTTACATATTTAGTGATGAAAAATACAAGTTTGTAATTTTTAACCTGAAGTCAGCCTTCAGACATAGCAATAGTTTTGATCCTGAAAATGACACTAATAGATGTCTCACAGCATGTATTGAAGTGTGATGTTATGGAAATAAATAGATGCATCAATTTTTAAATCAGAGAATGAGAGAGTCGTTCAGGATTTCAAGGTTCCTCATAGAAACCTTTGAGATATTTTGGTCCACTAGCTGAAGCAAAAAAGGTATTTCATATGATTACGTCAATTACTACATGGTATGAAATACTACTTTTTTCACTGAGATTTAGGACAACACAAACCCACAATAAACAGCATATCAGAGAGGTGTTTTACAAATGCATTTATTTTTTCTTAAAAAGCTAAAAGGAATATATTAATGTTAGAGGAAGTTACTGGGTACCAAAACAAATAAGAGAGTTTGAAAATAATGAAACTTCCCTTTTAGCGGTTGTCATTGGTAAACCACTGAGGCAATTCTGATTCTAATTTATTTTTTCCCTAATGGAAGCAAAGACTCTTTTTACAATACTTAGAAAACTTCGTCACTAATATAAATCCTTTGATCTGAAATACACCGGCAATAAATTGACCTATTTACACACAAATGACTTATTTCTGATAATAATTTTGAGATATATAAACATTAGACTAAAGACACAGAAATACTGGTCCTAGAAAGAATTTGAAGAAATGCGCTCTGTGGTAACTACCTTCTCTGATTTTTCTTTTTACAGTGCAAGACGTATGCCTGTGTTTTGGAGAGTCATCTTATGGGACTTACCATTGACTTTAGCATGGGCTTTGTCTGTTTTGATGCTGCCACAAAGGTAAAGTTCTAAGACTTGTTTCCATCACATTATTATTATTTCTCGTTATTTCTTATATTTTGGGATAAATGGTATATCCTTAAAATGTACTTCTTTTTGTTATCGCAACAGATCATCTCTTGTCAAATCTCTCGTGCTTTAGTTTAAACTCAGGGGTGATTTCTAAATGATGTGAGAAGTTGTATTTTGTTATGTGCTTGTTATTGAAAAGTCAATACCAATACAAGATCTGAAACAAGCATCAAGTCTTCATTCTTTAATTTCACATGAAAGACCAGACTGATTCAGTTTGATGTTTCTTTCACTGGTGCATCCTTGGTTTTGAGAGGAAATAATCTTCTTGGTTTCAAGCTGATCTGTGAGCTTTGAAAAGAACCTGCCTTTGTCTTCTCCCATTTCATGGGTGGGAGTGTGTATTATTACAGCAATTCTCAGTTTATGTTTTAGATATTTTTGTTCAGGTGTCTGTAAAAAGAGAAATCAGCCATGGTCTGTACGTCTCATGCTTTTCCCGTCAGCCTTAAAAAAGCTCAGTACAACTGTTGAAATAGTTTGCTATATCAAGTGAATAATATGGCATCAGTAAGTCCAAAATTCCATAAAATCAACAAAAGCTTACGTATGTTTGCATTTGCACTAATTGCTAAAAAGTACTAAAATGTAAGCAGGCTTTATTGCTACTACTTGACACTGTTGTTATGGGAGAATGTGAAACATTTTTTCTGAGTTCAACTTCTCTTCAATACCTGTTTTCCTTTGAGATGCTGCAGCATTGCCACCAGCAATTGCTGAAAATGCCCTTTTCTCTCCAGAATATGATCCTATCCTCTATCTTAAGTCAACCCTTCCCACCACATTACTCCACTAATCACAACCCTTTTATTCTTCCCACTCCATTCTACTGTTTGTTTGCACAAGGTGTGGTGAATTTGAAATTCAAATACTTGTGTATACATTTTTCTTTTTGTTAAGCAAATAGTCTTGTATGATTCATCATTGAATTACTACATTACACAAAAAAATCAGTGCAACAGAATTAAAATGCAATGGCTCAGAAAAAAATGTGTAGGGTTCCCCCACCCTCCAATAATATTATAGCAATACTTTTGTATAAAGGTAATTTCCATCTCCTTCAAAGCTCTTGCACATCTCTGATTCTCAAAAGACTTCAGGCTCTTTCAAAGCCATTATCTGCACTACAAGCATACACCACATTTCAGATAGCAAAGCACAAGCACAACTTCTTTCATACATGTTACCATGGCTGAAGGGTGTGGTACCCTTTTGGTATGTCCTTAGAACATGTACAGCAGATTTCCAGATACAGAAAAAAGCTCTAGCAGAGGTATAACTTCACTGTCTTGCTTTCTCAAATACGTCATTGTGCCTTTCCAGTTGTACAAAATTTCTGGAGACATCATCTTGGTGAACAATATTACTTATAAAACAGATTCTTCTTTGCCCCTACAAATAGATTTTTTAATTGTTTTTTTTCTTTCATAGCAAAGAGCAGAAAAATATTTTGAGTATTAAAATTGACTGCTGAAACACTAAAGCAATTGTTAGCATTGCCAACAGATTTGCATTCAGCTTTCCTTTCCTCTTCCTGCTGCCCCATGTTCCCTACAAGGTCACATAAGTAGTACTAAAAATGCATGATAAACTCCAACACTAAAACAAGTGCAGCAAAAAATTAGCATCTAACTTCCATTTCAAGCCAGAAGAGTCCTGACTGAGTAGGTTGGGAACCTACTCAAACTAAAATCACACTGCACAACCAAGTAGCAGGAAATCCACAGTGCAAGACCACTGGAGTGAGGCTTTGATGACTTGATGGCAACCAGAAGAAAGCCAAGAAGGAATTTTCCATCTTCCAGGTGTCCCAAGCTTGAGAAGGCCCATAAAGCAATGTAAGAGTATGAGGCAATTTTCCTTTTTCCTCTCCCCTTCATCTGTAAAGCCATGAAACCATGGAATGAACCTGTTCCTTCTGGGATAGCATCTAGCCTCAGCATCCAAAAAGTTCTGAAATTTTAAGCCAAGCATTAACCGCAGCTGAGTGTCTGGGAATCTTGAGGGTCTAAATACTGATGAAAGAGCACATGTTTACAGAATCTGAAAGAAGTTTCATTGAAGTGTGAAAGGGTAGCAGATGTGTAAAGGCATTTCCTTCAGGAAGGGAAGGGCTTCATAGACATTATGTGGACAGAACAGGCAAGTGTAGACATTTTTGTTGCAGTGAATAGGCTGTAGTTGTAACTAGAGAAAGTGTACTACATTTTACATCATCTGCAACTGACATACTGTGCTGCTCCTCCTCCTTCTCTCCCCAGCCTTGCAGTGGGTAGCAGCCCACAAAACATTTATCAGACCCAGACCAGCCTTAGAAATCTCTTAGTTGGTACCACTCATTCGCCACACTTACATACAGGCTGCAAGGAAGAGTAGGGGGACTCCTGCTGATCTGTCAAATCTATCACCTACTGTGATATCACAGTAGCGTGTCGCTCTGGTCCACAAAGCTCCTGATACCACCCAGGAGCTGCATGCTGTGGCAGGAGTGATTCCCCCTGAAAAAATTCTCTTTCCCATTTTTCAGTGCTACACTTATCTCCTAGTTTCCCTTCTGCCTTTTCCACTTGCACTGTCCGTGTTTTCTCTGTATTTCTTGCACTTTCTGTGTTTTCATTTTAGACTGATAACATTAATTTTGCTGTAATGCTTGCTGATTTTTCTTTTAAAAGTGGGTTTTATTTTCCTGAATGGAGGGAGGGACCATCCTGGTAAAGCTCAGGAGTCAGTACATGGGGAATCCTGAAGGTTTCAGGGCTTGTTTCATTTTTCTTTGATACAGAAAGACAGGCAAGCAGAGAATACAGTTCAAGATAAAGGCAGTGTTAAAAATGCCTGATCTGTTAGCTAGCATGCATACCAAAGATACGCCACATACTAATCCATTCAGTAGGCATGGAGAACTTGTACATTGGAAATTCAACAAAATAAATGGATAGCAATAACTGAGACTATTAAACTCATTACAGACTTACAATATGAAGACCTCAAGACCTTTTTTTTTCCCTCACTTACAAATCCAGACCTCCCAAAATGGAGCCTTTAAAGCATAAAACCCACAAGAATCATAAATATTTTAGTTCTATAAGCAATACGCAAAAGCTTCTTGGATAATGTTCTTCTGGCAATTGTCATGAAGAGCTATGGGTCACATATGCTAGTCATAGTGTCTTGCAGGTCTTCCTATCACTGTTCACCAGTCTTTGAGAAAACTCATTTATTCATCTCACAAATGTTTCATGGAACTTTTAATGTGATTGTTTTTGTACCCCAAAACACATTATATTCTTCTGTTACCAATCAAAAAGCACATCATCTAGAAATAAAAAAAGTCTAAAGAAACCAACAAAAACTGTGCAGCTCCCTTCAAAGTTAAGGTTTTGTTCACCCAAATACAGATACACATTTTTGTGACCTGAATGGAAGTTGTACATAAGCAAATCAAATGAGAAGCTCTCCAAGTTTTCTAATCAGATAGAATAGTATTTATGTTGTCAACAGATTCATTAAAAAATGTTTTCAGGCTTCTGATATATAGCCACTTAAATTACATAAGCATAAGTAAACTACTGCATAACATTCACAAAAAAGATTTTACATAGAAAATGTTTACATATAAAACAGGTAAAAATATTATTTTTAACTTCTCTACATATTATTTTGAAGCAGATTGTGTTGCCTTAAAACTTTCAGCGTTGTAAGCAGAATGCAGTTAGTAACCTCAGAAACCTACCTGCAGTGTTGCACCTTAATTAGTTTGTATGTTAGAATAAAGTATAGCACCATGGATAGAAAAGGAGACATATTGTCTTGTTAGGTAATCAGGCATTAGGCAGTGTGAGATGATAAGGATGGCTCTAATGCAATTGCATTAAAAGAGAAACAATACTGTATAATGCAACATAATCGGTTGCCAAGTGACTGCTACAGTTGAAATTGTCAAACAAGCCATAGGATGAAAACTTGTCTCAAATCTGCCCTAAGTGTGTCAACCACATTTTAATGAGTACCTAAATAGGAAAACCACTACCTACTCTCCATCACTTTATGGAAAGATAAAGGTTGTGATTCTCTCAGCCAAAAATTTATTCAGATATCTTCATTATGATGATAGCAGGTGTACGTTGTGTCTATGCTGGTAGTGTTCTTCAACAATATTGTTATACTCACATAAACGGAAACATAAACTAGATGTGTTTAGGCACATAAGCTAAAAGTATTATTTCTCCACCTAATGAAGGCGTTCATATGAAGCAGGAGTTCAAAATCTCTTTTCCAAGAAAAATCTAAGAAAACAATGAAAAATAGAAAACAGTTTGCAGGACAAGGAAAACATGAATAAAATTTAAATTACATTATCTATATCTTATTAATATTTGCATATATATTTGTGCATTAAGACTGTACAAAACTCCTAGCAACTGTCACATGAATTAACACAGTATTAAAGACATGTTTAAAATGTCATACTGTTCATGAAAAAAATATTTACATCTAGTTCTTTATACATTGTATGAATTTTTAAAATAAGCATTTGAAAAATCAGTACAAACTTATCTTTCCACATCCAATGATGGGACCCACAACTTCTCTCAGGGCAACCTGTTCCAGTGTTTCACCACCCTCATCATAAAAATTTTTTTCCTTATGTCCAATTTAAACCTACCCTCTTTTAGTTTAAAAACATTGCCCCTTGTCCTGTCACTGTGGGCCTTGGTAAAAAGTCTTTCTCCATCTTTCTTATAAGCCCTCTTTAAGTATTGAAAGGCTGCAATAAGGTCTCCCCAGAGCCTTCTCTTCTCCAGGCTGAAGAACCTCAACTCTCTCGGCCTTTCTTCACAGGAGAGGTGTTCTAGCCCTCCGGCCATTTTGTGGTCCCACTCTAACAGGTCCATGTCTTTCTTGTTCATGTTCACTTCTATTATTTT